CTATAATGCCAGTCAGGTTGAATTCCTTATTCCAAACCTTTCTGACCATTCACATGGTGTTATTACAATCGATAAGGAAATTTTGCAAGGGAAGATGCCTTTCAAAATTTTCAAAATGTGGACAAAGCATGTCAGTTTTCTCCCTGCAGTTGCATACACTTGGCAATCTAGAATAAAAGGTTGTGCTATGTTTTTAGTTTATTCTAAATTGAAAATGATGAATATTGCTCTAAAGAACATTAATAAAAAGCACTTCTATAACATATGTGAGCAGATTCATAATGCTAAATATGCTCTAGATGACGTTCAAAATAGTCTTCAAACAAATCCTTTTTGTCATATGTTAATAAAACAGGAAAAGAGTGTATATCCAATCTTAACAGATTACAGGATTGTGAGCTTTCCTTTTTCAACAAAAGGCTATAATTTCCTGGAGTGTACATGGAGATAGATGTACAAATCTCTTTCATTCTGTGATAAAGGCTGGCATGCATCACAACAAGATTATGCTTTTATATAACAATTTGGGATAGAGGATCACTAATGGTGAAGGCATAGCAAATAAGTTAATCTCTCATTTCAAAGGCCTTATGGGGACATCTATTGATACTTCTCCACCCAATATTGACATCATTCATTCAGAGGCATGCTTAAATGCTTCTCAGGCCAGGGTTTTAATTGCTTTTGTTACCAAGGAAGAAATCAAGGATGTTATTTTTCCATGTCAGACAACAAAGCCCCTAGGCCAGATGGTTACAATGTTGCTTTTTACAAGTCTGCCTGGAGCATTGTAGGAGATGAAGTTATTCAAGCTATAGGGGAATTCTTCAAATCTGGAAAACTTTTGGATATGGTTAATTCTACAGCTATCTCACCCATTCCAAAAGTTAACTGTTCTACTTCTCCATCTGAATTTAGACCTATATCTTGCTGCAATGTCCTTTATAAAATCATTTCAAAAATTTTGGTGAATAGGATTAAAACAGTTATGGGGTTTCTTGTCAATGGAGCTCAAAGTGCATTTGTGGAGTGAAGTCAAATCACTAATAATATTCTTCTTGCACGTGAACCAGCAGGAAATGTATCTCCCCTAGAGTAATGCTTAGTATTAATATCAAAAAAGCATTTGACACTATCAACTGGAATTTTTTGAGAGATTTGCTTAGAGGCCTGGGCTTCTCAAATAAGATGGTGAATTGGATTATGACATGTATATCTTTCCCTTCTTATTCCATTTCTTTAAATGGATCACTCCATGGGTATTTCAAAGGTAAAAGGGGGCTGAGATAGGGAGACCTTCTATCCCCATGTCTCTTTATCTTGGGTATGGATCATCTCTCTAGATGCTTGGATTTATTGAAGAATGACAATCAATTCAAATTCCATCCTAAATGTAAAAGGCTCAAGATATCTCATCTTATTTTTGCTGATGACCTATTACTTTTTAGCAAGGGAGATCTGGTATCAGTGCAAAAACTCCATCATTGTTTACAAGATTTCAGTGCATCTTCTGGGCTTGAAGAAAATCCTAATAAGTGCCATATATTCTTTGGTGGTGTGAATGAAAGTGTTAAGTCTTCTATAAATGACTTTTTGGGCTTTACTGAAGGCTCTCTTCCTATCAGATACCTTGGAGTCCCTCTTATATGCAAAAGACTTTCCTATATTGACTATAATCCCCTTCTTAACATGATTTACAGTCAATTTCAAAAATGGTCTTCCAGGAATCTCTCTTATGCAGAAACAATACAGATTATAAAAAATGTGATTTTAGGTGTCCAAATATTTTGGACATCCAACTATATTTTGCCAGTGAAAGTTCTTCAGAGAATTGATAAAATGAACATGGATTTTCTATGGGGGAGAACTGATCATAAGCATAAGCCTTCCCGAGTAGGATGGGAGAAAATCTACCAGGGGAAAAAAATTGGTGAATTAGGCATATTCTCTGCTAAACTCTGAAACTTTGTTGTTGTCTTGAAAAACATCTGGTATATTATCCATGTAAATAAAGAGCTCCTATGGATCAAGTGAATCCACGACACCTATTTGAAACACAGAGATGTCTGGACTGATAATGCTAAAGCAAATGATTCCTGGCCCTAGAAACAAATGCTGAAAATCAGAGATAAAGCCTTGGCTTTAACTGGAGGAGTTGATAACATGAAGCATATTTTTTGGCTCTTGCTACAAGAATTCTAAAGTTAAATCATCAGCCTTGCATTTGGCATTATCTCTAACTTCTCTCAAAGTTCCATGGTATAATACTATTTGGGAGAGAATGAATTACCCCAAGCATTCTATCATAAGCTGGCTTGCTGTTAAAAATAGATTGTTAACGCAGGACATGTTGTCTATGATGGGGATTTTGCCTGCAAATTCCTGTTGTCTATGCAATGGTGCTGCAATGGAGAGCCGTGATCATCTATTCTTTGAATGTGAGTTCTCTACAAATGTCTGGAACAAGATTATGGCATAGCTCCAATTCAGATGGTGTTCCTGCAATTGGAACTGTATTTTGGAATGGTATTTTATCTGTTTGAGAGGCAATGGGTTTAAGCAAAAGATTAAGAGGATGGCCTTCAATGCTTCATTATACAAGATATGGAATGAAAGAAATTCTAGGATATTTGTTCAGAAATCCAAGGGGCTGATCAACTAGTTAAAGAGATCAAAGTTGATATATTGATCCTAATCCTCAATGGTTCTACAGCTCTTGAAAATAGAGAATGAGCTTTATCTTTGTAAATAGATTTTTGGAGTGTGTGTGATATCTTTTGTATATCTGTCAAAAATCTAGGCTTTCTCATGTTATGAGAATCATGATGTACAAAACTTTCCATATGGTTGAATGAATAAATTTTTCATTGACAAAAAAATAGATAATTTGTGCAAGAGTACATGTCTAAGTATTTAATTAAAATGTGTGACAACTACATTGAGATGAAAAAGCATACTTTTGGATCACACGACCTATGATTTTCTCGACAAAATAATAAAAATTCTTTGATGTAGCCCATGAACATCTTATTCACTCTTAGATAGGATTCTACCATGGAGGACTATCAATATTACAAATAAATATTTTGATGAAAGCAATTCAGTTGATATCTATGGCTTACTGTCACATCATTTCTTCTAGTGAGCTTCAAGTATTGCAATGTGACATGATCTATATATGGGAAGAATCTCATAGTTGCTCTATACATACTCACATGACAGGTTTGCAATAGTGGCACGATCCGCCAATGATAGTTCACTGATCACTTCCCCTAAATGAAGGATATGAACAATAATTGAACAATAATGAAAGAAGATGAACTTAATAAAATTATCCACAGTTCAAAATCTATATCATTCACATTTGAGAATTTTGGGTATAAATGGTATATATGGATATTGTACATACCAAAACTATTAGATTGTAAAGATATATATAGTTCCTTGACGAAAGAGGGACTTGTTGGAGCGAGCGGAGCCGTGAAGAGCGGACGACGAACTTGCAGTCGGTGGGGTCCTTGTCGAAGCAAAGACGACAACGAGCTTCCTTCTTCTAGCCATAGGGGGTGATGACTGAGCGAATACGACCAAGGAGTGTCGACAAAGACAGATTGAAGCTGTAGGGGTTCCCGTCGACGGTTAGGGTTCTCGGCGGCGGCGGTGGAGCGAGATTTTGAGATAAAGAGGGTGATGAGAAAATTGGTTGCAAAGGGTTTCAAAGATCGTGCTCAGAAGGGGATTTTCATAGTTTTTTTAATTTTAAATGGGAAGGGTAATTTTAACCGTTACCTATTTGTATAATCCTGGAGGAATTTGCTAGTTAGTTACGTACATATGCACAGATTTTATTATTATTTTTCATTTTTATTTTTCTGCTCATCTGTACACAGATTATTGATATATAGTAAAATATTTGTTAGTTAAAATGTTTTAATTATATTAGGTTGGGATTATCTACTTTATCTTCGTGCATGTTTAAGGACAGGGTTTAAGATGAATATTTATTCCAAATTTTAAAGAAATATTTTCATAACAATTAATTATAGTTTTTTCTCTTTCTATTATTTGTGCAGCAAGCTAGGACCTGGCAAGTGAGATGTGATTCACCAAGGGGGTGTTAGTCAATTGAGGCATTTTCATGCAAAATGAGATAATTGTTAAAATGAAATAATTCTTCGTTAGTAGGATATTTTAGTGGGATAAATAGGAACAATTTTGTTAAGCGGGGTATTTTGATAAAATAACGTGGGATAATTTTTTATAATCATGAAGTATATGTTTATGCATTTTAAAGATATAAATATTATTTATGTATTTTAAATCTACTATTATTGATTGATAATTATTTACAAGAATGTTCTTACTATTAAATAACTTTTGATTAGACTATAAGATATTGACAATTATTATTATAATAATGGTCTAATGATGGTAATAATCATAATAGTAAAGAAGTAAAAAATATATATAAAAAATAATGATGGTAATAATCATAATAGTAATAATCATAATAGTAAAAAGTAAAGAAAAAAATATAAAAAATAACAAAATAAATATGAGTTCTAGTTTTTTACCACCTAGTTACAAGCTAAAACTTAAATAATTTAAGAGACTAGAACTCTTATTTTTTATAGAAAAATAAAAAAAATAAAATAATTTTATATTATTTTTTTAATTCTAGTGTTGTTAAGAGTTCTACTTGACTAACACTAACACTGTAAAATTTAATTCTAATTTTAGTTTTATGTAACTAAAACATTAAAAAATTATCCCACGGATTATTCAAGTTCCATTTTTAAGTTCTAATTGAAAAACCCCCGAAAGGAATAAATAAATGTATCTGTTGAGTAATAATAATAAAAGAAAAAAATTTGCATTTGTTTCTGTGTTACGCTAGTCTAAAGGATCGCTCTTATAAAATTCAAGTTTTTATGCCGGTCGATGTGAGGACATCCTCAGTGTTACCAGAAATTGAGTTGGTGCCAAGTAAGTCGATCAGATCCAAAAACAGATAAAAGTAGTAACTTTTTATTCATTGATTATTCATCATTACAAGATAAAAGCGACACAGAGAAAATTAACACTTGACAATTAAGCAACCCAGCATCCGTAGACACCCTGCATCAACAGCGAACAAACAAAAAAAAAATCAGAAAAAATGACAAAAAACCAAAAAAAAAAGACATTAAAAAGAAAATAACTTACGGCAACAGATCGATCTATGGATCGTCTAATCGCTGTCGCTGCTGCTGCTCCCATCGTGATGCTTCCCGCCCTCGCCGTGCTTCTTCTTCTTCTCCTTCTTCTTCTTCTCTCCGTCGTGCTTCTTCCCGTCGCCGTCGCCGTGGACCTTGTCCTTGATCTTGTCCATCACGCCGCCGCCTTCGCCGTGCTTGTTGATCTCCTCGTGCCTCTTGATCTCCTCGTGCTTCTTCTCGTCGCCGTGGATCTTGTCCTTGATCTTGTCCATCACGCCGCCGCCTTCACCGTGCTTCTTGATCTCCCCGGGCTTCTTCTCGTCGCCGTGCATCTTGTCCTTGATCTGGTCCATCACGGCACCATGCTTCTTCTCCTCGACTCTGTGCTGCTTTTCTTCCTCTTTCTTGTGGTCGACTCCTCCTCCCATCCCCAATTTCTGCTCGATACTGTGAATGATTCCTGCCATTTCTTGATTTCTTTTTTCAATTTGTTGTTTTCTTTTTCGTGGTGATGATGATGGTGTCGGATCAGCGGGGGTATTTATAGGGAGGAATTGGGCGGTGGAAGCGGGTAAGGCTCCCCGTCACGGGAAATTCCGTAAAATCAGCTCGCTGGCTAAAAAAAATGAGTGGTGATAGGGGCACACAACAAACCACACCGCCGACCACACTCTCCTCTTTCATTTGCTTCAGTATACGGGGCTCCACATAGGATTTTAAAAATTTAAAATCCTATGTGAAGCCCTGTATACTGTAGCAAATAAGAAAGAAGAGTGTGGTTGGTGGTATGGTATAAGGTGTGCCCTAGCATTTCTTTAAAAAAATAGACCGACCTAAATTAAGGGGTTTATTTTATTAATTTGTATTATATATGATGAGTCGGTGAGCTCGGATACCCGCGTAGTTAACGCGACCAACGAAGCAATAGGATCGCGCCACGTATAGGACGTTTGGACACTGTTACCGAGGGTGTCGTCTCCGGATAAGTTCAATTATTTAAGGATAGATGCCAGGGACCCGAAAGCCGATAGCACGCAGCGTAAATCCACCGTTGAATTTGATCTAAACGGGAAAACCAACGGTAAAGATGAAGGAGTTGAATTCGGAGGTCGAACGTTTGGGTACAGCAGAACATGCTGCGTCGCGTCGTCGTTGTCCGATATTGTCGGCCATGATCTGACACAACGTCGTCGTGCTCCAACGAAGGAATCATACTGCAACACGTGGCTATTTTGGTACAGTGTCTGTCGCGTGGCTCCTCGAGAGTCGCTGGTGAGACGAGAAAAAGTCATGGGGTGGTCAGAGTGGTTGATAGGTTTTCATAATCACCACGAAACTTCGAGATGGACCCCGAACCTTCGGGATGGACCCCGAAATGGGCCTAGGCCACAAGTATGTTACCTTTATGGGCCATTCGTATCTTATTCTACAATCATTGGAACGCTACTTTTCCTGTTTTATTGTCTCAATTCGAACTCCACAGATCTAATTATACGTAGAACATATGTAATATATTACATGTAAATAGGACTTTTGATCAAATGATTGATGCATATCTGGCAAAAGGAAACAATCTTGTTTTAAGTTAGCTTTATGGATGCCCACATGAGATTGCGTCCGTTTACAAAATCAACTGGATTCCCAACAAGATATTAGACTCGGCCCGTTTACAATAGCAAGTGGATACCCAACTAGTTTTTGGACCTAGGCCGTTCACAAAATCAAGTAGACACCCGACTAGGTATTATACTTGGCCCATTTACAAAATCAAGTGGATACCCAACTGGATATTAGATTTGTCCCGCTTCAAGTCACCAAGTAAGTGGCGTATAAGTCCAAATAGTAATTTTTAAGGAAAAAAAAGGATGTAATGTGGCTGCGCTAAACGAGCTACCAGACATACTCATACTCATGTGATAAGACTTATCTTGTTAGTCACATTAAAAGATGTGAATCTCATATTTCTATCTCTTGATAACTTATTTTGCTAACTAAGTTGTCGCCTAATAACCGTCATTCCCATTTTATAATCAACTTTACAACATACAACTTGCAAGTTCTATTCACAAAGACCCACATATATGGGATTGGTCTTAACTTAAAGTTTACAGGTAAGTTGAATTTATCTCTTCTAATTTTTACATTAAGCATTAAAGTGGAAAAACATAGAATCAGGTTAAGAGTTTAAAAGTTTTTAAGCAAAGATGATAGAGAGTTGTCTACAAAAAGAAAAGTTTATGCCTGCTGATAGATTGAAAGCACAACACATGTTTATCAGGTGATAGTAGTTGGAGTTTCCTCCGCAAGCTCATTTGTTCTCCTCCACCTATTTAATCCTAGGAGTCGGATTCTCTTCAATTAGATGGTAATTAGATAGTCTTCAAATTTTCCAATCATTATCATTCATTACGAATTTAAGAAACCAGATCGGTCTATGAGATAATACCACTATGATCTTGAAAACCGCTATGATCTTGAAAACCGCTATTCTTTGAAAACCGCTATCACAATATCAGAATCTTGCGTGGTCTAATCTCATCCATTGAGTATAGAATGTACGACAATACCTGGAGGAATTTGAGACTCCCTAATTACCAACTAAGGACCCGTTTGGTTTAATAAAAGTACCGGAAGTAGGAAATAGGTGAAAAAAGTAACTTCTAAATTTATGAAGTAGAAAGTAGTGGAGATAATACTATTTTTGTTTGTTTCACATATTTTTTTGAAGTAATGCATGGAAATTATATTTACATTCTTCATTCTCTTTTTTTGTGTGAATAGCAATGAAAAATTGTTAAGAAGTAACTGATAAGAGAAATATAAACAAGAAAAATTATTTCTTTCCTAATTAATACAAATTTCACCTTTTTCAGGCTACTTTCAAGCCTTGATGGGAGGAAAAATATTTAAAAAGTAAGTATAACACGTAGATTCCACGTTCAGAAAAACAAATATGTTTTTTTGCTCGAAAGTAGCAGAAATAACATTTACTTTCTTTATTTTCAACTACTTCATAATTATTTTCATGCAAACAAATAGCCCCTAAATGGAGAGGGTCTAAACCATTACTTCATTTCACTTGTCTAAACATGAACGGCTTAAATTAAACTGCAACAAAATCATCATTGTTAAAACAATAATTAGAGTCTCCCCCTCCCCCCCAAAAAAACTAGCTTAAATATTAGGTTATTTAATTGCAATCAATTAAAACAAGTATGTTGCCCGTGCTCTAACGGATAAGTCTTAAGTAGTGAATGTACCCAAAAAAAATCTTCCACATTCTCAAACTGCGTAATGTTATTTCAAAATATAAAATGACTAAAATATCTTTTTGAAAATCAACCCATTCAATTAGAAAGAAACTACCAACTAATGACATTTTTTTGGATTTAATTTAACAATGGCCCCCACCCCGCCCCCCCCTCTACCATATTTCTCTTATCCTAAAAAATTCAGAGTAAGTTATTATGATTAAGGTCTATCTTCGTCTTTTTCAATCACCTACTTATCATGTATTATGCTAGACCTAAACGATATTAGTTTTCAAAGGCAAAAAATGAGATGAGTTCATGGGTTTTCTCAAATTTTTAAACTTGAGGAGGTTTATGTACAATATGTTCAAACCTGAAGGCGGTTGAGAAGAGTTTTTTAGTCACAGCTCGTATTGAAGGGAGGTTAAGTGAGAAAAGTTCAGGGATTATCTGAAATTTTCATAGTTGAGTGAGTTATCTACAATATATGCTCAAAGTTGAAGGATGTTTTCCCAAATTAAAATAGTTGATAGAGTTTTCCAAAATTGATCCATGATTTTATGTATAAAGATTCTCTACATGAGTTTTACTTTAATTTCTATAATTAAATATATGATTATGAGATTCTTTTTAAATATGGATGGTTATAATCTGTAAGGATTACAAAATATTTCATTAGTAGATTTTTCTCATTATTAATAATTTTAATTTGATGAGGATTCTTTGGTGAATATATTTTCATATTTAAATATACGATCTATGAGGTTTTTATTAAAACATGGATAGTTATAATCTAATAAATGCTATCAAAAAATTAACTATTAAATTTTCTAATAATGAATAGGTTTATCATAATAAGAATTCTGTGAATATAAGATTTAGTGTCCACTTGTTATAGAATAGAGAGAGAGAGAGAGAGAGACACATGCATACTTATGATATAACATATTTTAAAATCGACCGTTTTTAAAAATTAATAAGTAAAATCGACTGCTTAAAAAAATATTCAGCGAAATCAACTCTTTTCACTGAAAAGGGCCGATTTTATAATTTTCGAGCTGCACAGGACTACTAGTCACGTGCAGTTCTCCCAAAAACGCCAAGCACATCCACATCCTTCCCTCACATTCATCACATCTCCTCCTCCCTGCCTAGAAACCCAAAAAACCAGACCCCCAATGGTGACTGAAAAACGTCGACACCAACAGAGCCGCCACCTCAGACGAGCTCGCCGTCGTCAAAGACCTCCGCCTCCAACTTGAAGACTCCATTGAATCCCGTCGCCTCTCTCAACAGGACCTCGTCTCCTCTCTCCGAGCCCTGGTCCCCAACCTCATCTCCTCCCTCGATCTCTCCCTCCAACTCATCTCCGCCTTCAACTGCCACCCTTTCACCCCCACCCCAAACCCTAACCCTAACCCTAACCCCAACCCTGACTCCCGCCACCGCCCCAACGAGCACATCTTCCTCCGTTGTACCCACCCCAAATCCTGGCCGAGCCCAAACCCTCGTTCCATGCAGTCGCCGGAGATCGCCTCTCCGTCGTCCGTACGATGGTGGAGGTCGATATGACGCTTTAGAGAATTTAAGAGGAGAATGGGGGAGTGTAGCTTGAGGATTTTACTGTTAATGGGAGGAGGAGATTTGAGGTGGGGAGAGACATGGATTGACATCGCTTTTTTTTTTTTTTGGAGAACTACACGGGATGCAGTTTAAAAACTGTAAAATCAATCATTTTCAGTAAAAATGGTTGATTTCGCTGAATGTTTTTTTTAACGGTTGATTTTACTTATTAATTTTTAGAAACGAACGTTTTTTAAATTTTGCCCTAACATTTAGACTCCACTTGTTACCGAGGTTGTCGGCTCCTGATAAGTTCAATTATTTAAGGATAGATGCCAGGGACCCGTAAGCTGATAACACGCAGTGTAAATCCACCGTTGAATTTGATCTAAACGGGAAAACCAACGGTAAAGATGAAGGAGTTAAATGCAGAGGTCGAAGTTTGGGTACAACAGAATATGCTGCGTCGCGTCGTCGTTGTCCGATATTGTCGGCCATGATCTGACACAACGTCGTCGTACTCCAATGAAGGAATCATCTGCCCCACGTGGCTATTTTGGTACAGTATCTGACACGTGGCTCTTCGATAGTCGCTGGTCAGACAAGAAAAGTCATGGAGTGGTCAGAGATGGACCCCGAACCTTTGAGATGGACCCCGAAATGGGCCTGGGCCACAAGTATGTTACCTTTGTGGGCCATGAGTATCTTATTCTACAATCATTGGAACGCTACTTTTCCTATTTTATTGTCTCAATTCAAACTCCACAGATCTAATTATACGTAGAACATATGTAATATATTACATATAAATAGGAATTTTGATCAAATGATTGATGCATATCTGGCAAAAGGAAACAATCTTGTTTTAAGTTAGCTTTATGGATGCCCACATGAGATTGCGTCCGTTTACAAAATCAACTGGATTCCCAACAAGATATTAGACTCGGCCCGTTTACAATAGCAAGTGGATACCCAACTAGTTTTTGGACCTAGGCCGTTCACAAAATCAAGTAGACACCCGACTAGGTATTATACTTGGCCCATTTACAAAATCAAGTGGATACCCAACTGGATATTAGATTTGTCCCGCTTCAAGTCACAAAGTAAGTGGAGTATAAGTCCAAAACTGACAGTAATTTTTAAGGAAAAAAAAAAGGGCTAAATACACATATTGATATTTTAATTCCATCCTAATTTCCAACAAGGTATTTTAAATAGGCAAACCCGCTTTAAGACATTTTAATTGATCCAACTAATCAATAAGGCATGTTTTCTCGTCGGCGGGCAAATTTTTGACGAGATCTCTTCACGTGCATGGCACGTGATGTCTCAAAACTCATTTATAGCAGTGGCGACGACAATAATCTCGTCATATTCAGCCCAAAGTAGGATAAAATAACGGTTATGACGCCGCCTGAGATCCCTAACCCCATCGAATCGGCTGAATATGACGAGATTGTTGCCTTCGCCGCTGCTAAAAACGAGTTTTGAGACATCATGTGCCATGCACGTGACGAGATCTCGCCGGAAATTTTCCCGCCGACGAGAAACCATGCCTCATTGGTTAGTTGGATCAATTAAAATGTCTTAAAGCGGGTTTACCTATTTAAAATACCTTGTTGGAAATTAGGGTGGAATTAAAATACCAATATGGGTATTTAGCCAAAAAAAAGAATGTAATGTGGCTGCGCTAAATGAGCTACCAGACATACTCATACTTATGTGATGAGACTTATCTTGTTAATCACATCAAAAGATGTGAATCTCATATTTTTATCTCTTGATAACTTATTTTGCTAACTAAGTTGTCGCCTAATAACTGTCATTCCCATTTTATAATCAACTTTACAACATACAACTTGCAAGTTCTATTCACGGAGACCCACATATATGGGATTGGTCTTAACTAAGTTTTACACGTAAGTTGAATTTATCTCTTCTAATTTTTACATTAAGCATTAAAGTGGAAAAACATAGAATCAAGTTAAGAGTTTAAAAGTTTTTAAGCAAAGATGATAGAGATTTGTCTACAAAAAGAAAAGTTTATGCCTGCTGATAGATTGAAAGCACAACACATGTTTATCAGGTGATAGTAGTTGGAGTTTCCTCCGCAAGCTCATTTGTTCTCCTCCACCTATTTAATCCTAGGAGTCGGATTCTCTTCAATTAGATGGTAATTAGATAGTCTTCAAATTTTCCAATCATTATCATTCATTACGAATTTAAGAAACGAGATCAGTCTATGAGATAATACCACTATGATCTTGAAAACCACTATTTTTTGAAAACTGCTATTCTTTGAAAACAGCTAACACAATATCGGAATCTTGCGTGGTCTAATCTCATCCATTGAGTATAAAATGTACGGTAATACCTGGAGGAATTTGAGACTCTCTAATTACCAACTAAGGACCCGTTTGGTTTAATAAAAGTACCGGAAGTAGGAAATAGATCAAAAAAGTAACTTCTAAATTTATGAAGTAGAAAGTAGTGGAGATAATACTATTTTTGTTTGTTTCACATATTTTTTGAAGTAGTGGAAATAATATTTTACATTCTTCATTCTCTTTTTTTTTATTTGAATAGCAATGAAAAATTGTTAAGAAGTAACTGATAAGATAAATATAAAACAAGAAAAATTATTTCTTTCCTATTTAATACAGATTTCACCTTTTTCAGGCTACTTCCAAGCCTTGAGGGGAGGAAAAATATTTAAAAAGTAAGGATAACACGTAGATGCCACGTTCAGAAAAACAAATATGTTTCTTGCTCGAAAGTAGCAGAAATAACATTTACTTCCTTTATTTCAACTACTTCATAATTATTTTCATGCAAACAAATTGCCCTTAAAATGGAGAGGGTCTAAAGCATTACTTCATTTCACTTGTCCAAACATGAACGGCTTAAATTAAACTGCAACAAAATCATCATTGTTAAAACAATAAGTAGAGTAAAAAAAATAATTATGAACAGTGATGTTAACCGAGGTTGCGGCTTCCTGATATAAGTTCAATTATTTAAGGATAGATTGCCAGGCGACCCGTATAAGCTCGAAACACGCAGTGTAAATCCACGTTGAATTTGATCTAAAACGGAAAACAACGCGGTAAGTGAAGGAGTGAATGCAAAGAGGTCGAAGTTTGGTGTACAACGATATGCTGCGTCGCTCGTCGTCGTTGTCCGAATTCAGAGTAATTTTTTATGATTAAGGTGTATTTTCGTCTTTTTCAATCATCTACTTATCATGTATTATGCTAGACCTAAACGATATTAGTTTTCAAAGGCGAAAAAATGAGAAGAGTTCATGGGTTTTCTTAAATTTTTAAACTTGAGGAGGTTTATGTACAATATGTTCAAACCTGAAGGTGGTTGAGAAGAGTTTTTTAGTCACAGCTCGTATTGAAGGGAGGTTAAGTGAGAAAAGTTCAGGGATTATCTGAAATTTTCATAGTTGAGTGAGTTATCTACAATATATGCTCAAAGTTGAGGGAGGTTTTCCCAAATTAAAATAGTTGATAGAGTTTTACTTTAATTTCTATAATTAAATATATGATTATGAGATTTTTTTAAATATGGATGGTTATAATCTGTAAGGATTACAAAATATTTCATTAGTAGATTTTTCTCATTATTAGTAATGTTAATTTGATGATGATTCTTTGGTGAATATATTTTCATATTTAAATATACGATCTATGAGGTTTTTATTAGAATATGGATAGTTATAATCTAATAAATGCTATCAAAAATTAACTATTAAATTTTCTAATAATGAATAGTTTTATCTTAATAAGAATTTTGTGAATATAAGATTTAGTGTCCACTTGTTATAGAATAGAGAGAGACACATGCATACTTATGATATAACATATTTTAAAATCGATCGTTTTAAAAATTAATAAGTAAAATCAACCGCTTAAAAAAATATGCAGTGAAATCGACCATTTTCATTGAAAAGGGTTGATTTTACAATTTTTGAGTTGCACGGGACTACTAGTCCCGTACAGTTCTCCCAAAAACGCCAAGCAAATCCACGTCCTTCCCCCACCTTCATCACATGTCCTCCTCTCTGCCTCGAAACCCAAAAAACCAGACCCCCCAATGGTGACTGAAAACGCTGACGCCGACAGAGCCGCCACCTCAGACGATTTCGCTGCCATCAAAGACCTCCCGTCAAAGACCTCCGCCTCCAACTCGAAGACTCCATCGAATCCCGCCGCCTCTCTCAACAGGACCTTGTCTCCTCTCTCCAAGCCCCGGTCTCCAACCTCGTCTCCTCCCTCGATCTCTCCCTCCAACTCATTCCCGCCTTCAACCACCGCCCTTTCGCCCCCACCCCAAACACTAACCCTAACCCCAACCCCGACTCCCGCCACCGCCCCAATGACCACCTCTTCCTCCGATGTACCCACCCTAAACCCTTGCCAGAGCCCAAACCCTCGTTCCCTACAGTCGCCAGAGATCGCCTATCCGTCGTCCGCACGATGGTGGGGTCGATATGGTGCTTCGGAGAATTTAAGAGGAGAATGGGGGAGTGCAGCTTGAGGATTTTACTGTTAATGGGAGGAGGAGATGTGAGGTGTGGGGAGACATGGATTGACCTCGCTTTTTTTTGGAGAACCGCACGGGACTACTAGTCCCGTGCAGTTTAAAAACTGTGAAATCGATCCTTTTCAGTGAAAAAGGTCGATTTCGCTGAATATTTTTTTAAACGGTTGATTTTACTTATTTATTTTTAAAAACGGTCGTTTTTAAAAATTTGTCCTAAGATTTAGTGTCCACTTGTTACAGAATAGAGAGAGACACATGCATACTTATGATATAATATATGTCAGTTTTTTTATGCCTTTATAATGTGACACATACTAATTTTTGATGTATTAGAAAGTTCTACCAATTTCTATTTATGTATAAAGATACTTACCCTGCATGATAACCAAATCCCCTCCTATTTCTCGGAGGGAAAACTAGGGGTGCTAAACCGTATCCGTATCCGAGAAAATATCCGTAACCGTATCCGTTAGGATGCGAATATGGTTACTCAAATCTATAACCGATAAGATATGGTTACGGATATGGTTTTGTAGTGAAATATCCGTATCCATATCCGAAATATCTGAATACATATTAGTCATACTTTTACGATAGTTTCGATTCTTAGATTATGGATTTGTGGTTAATTTTGATGATCAAAATGTCTAATCTTAACTTTTTAATTATAATGAACATATTAACAAACTCTTTTGTATCACATGAACTATGTTTTTCTCAATACTATCTAGTTTTCTCATATCTGTTTTGTATCTGCATGCATATCCGCTTATATGTTCGCATGTATATCCGTAACCGTATCCGATTTAGTGGATATGGTTATAAATTTTTCTTACCGAGGTATATCCGTATCTGTATCCGTATCCGAGATGGGTAAGCGGATATGGATATGATAAGCATCATATCCGAGCCGTATCCGGACCGAATGCACCCCTAGGGAAAACACTACAGGCACACCCCAACCACACCTTGGGTCACACCCCCTCTCTCAGCTACAGTACACGAGGCCC